TATCTCCAAGCCAATTTACGTTAAATAACACTTGCATGCGCTTCTTCTCATGTTGCGATTTAATCAGACAATCGATCGGAAATCATCACACTCGGCCTGGCACAATATCAAAATATCGACAAAAACACAGAATTCTATTAGAGTATTGCAGTTTTCCTGTGACGGATTTATGAATACGTCTGTGGCATCTAAAACCGCACCTGTGTACCATATTCCTAGAACATACCTCGTAAAGCCAGTCAAGGAAGATATTTGAAGAACTATTAACATCTTCATCATTACCACCAAAAGCAGAATCGAAGGAATAAATGAAACTTGGTCGTGGTCATACGCCCCCCGCGTCCAACCCCATGAAGACAAGGATCATGACGAACTAGGAGCACCTGACCAAAGCATTTTGAAGAAATGGCACGACGTTTCTCCCGGATCATTCATGAACACCTTTGGGACAGATATCAACCAATACCTCTTAAGAGGGGACACAGTTCCGCCATGCAAATGATGCATAGCTCCGGGCAGCACTGAGAAAAGTCCACCCCTGTCTCCAACGTCCATTACCACACTCGGACATCACTTTTAGTAACTAGTAGCAACGGAAATATTCATAACTATTCCACCGAGGAAGTCCAGCATACTGGGTGGTTCCCGTCAGATCACTGCTGAAAATGCATGAATACAAAACACCACCGGAGTTCGATTTCCATTCACCAAACCTCTCCACTACTGCTGGTGTTAATCTCCTTCATACCATGTTTTTGCTAGTAGACTGTGCTGAAGGCCCTGAATTTCAGAGCGATTTTATTGCCTTAGTACCATCTACGCCCCCAGCAAGCGACAGACGTATCACGAGCAGAAAGGGCAATAGAAAAGAAAAGAAAAAAACTAGTTGATCAGGGGACTCACGGGCCTTCCGAACGCCAGAAAACAAAACAAAAATCAGAGCGACACACTGCATCCGCAGCTCCAAGATCCGTCCCCAGATCCATGCCCCTAATCATGCTTGCCTCTTGACATGTCACGCAAACGGATCCAGTCTCCATCGCGTGGTCCGTGAACTACCGACATCGACAGCACAGACGTGGCTGGTTGGACCCTGGCAAGCCTGGGCAACCTGGCGGCGGGATCGACATCATTCCCCGGGTTCGTCAGTTGCATAAATCGAATGGGATGTTTGGGGGAACTGAGCGGCAGATTTGATGGAATTTTGTTAGGTCCTGGAAATGGGGTTGGACAACTTGCAACCATGAGAAAATCAATACGACCGTAGCATCATTGGCCAAAACTCTGAGCGTCCGCGTTCATGCCGAGTGGGAGGGGACGTGAGATGGGTCCAATGTCGTGGCGTGAGGCGATCACCCTTTTTTCTGGTCTTTCTTATCGGATGATGATGCTGCGTTGAGAGTCGAATCAAAGGCTGGAGGATATTTTTAGCACACAGAGATATATATATGTATTATTCACAATGATCCACGATGCCATTGTTTTCAAATCCCAAGAGAAACCACCCCCATTTCATAGTTTACACAAAGCTAGCAACGACTCAGGCTAGTTCTTTCATATCTTATTTCTCTAAATCTATTGTGGAATATTCAACCATTTGGCCTAAAGAGGTACTCCCTAGACCTGCCACCATCACTCAGTAACCTTGAAACGAAAACAGGAGCTTTCTCTGTTCTCCCATTAGAATTCAAGACAAATGAAATAAAATAAGGAGCAGTTAAAACAAAAAAATGAGCGCCATCCATTTCTATGAGTCAGTAACCGACATACCACCACTGGTCACCAGTGCGGAATAGCTATGCTAATTAGAATGGCATAATTGGACCAACAATTACAACCATGAAATCAATAAATTTATCTCCTGGGCATTCCCCGTCCTCTGCCACCACCCAGAACCCTCTGAGCAGCGCCTTGCGGAAGCGGCCGTTGCGGTGCTTGTGGCTGCTGGGATTCTTCGTTCTCTAATTGCGCGGAGTGATCGATTAGCACGGCATCGTTGTAACAACCTAGAATATAGAAGAAAGGGGGAAATAATAATAATAATAATAACAATAATAACAATAATAAGGGGTAGGAAAAGGAATGGAGAGAGGGTTTGGGGCTGGGGTCTCGGAACTATATTATTCAAACCGGATAACAAAAGAAAAAGGAAATAGAAAACAAAAACACGGAAAGGGTGTAACATACTGATAGTCTCATCCACACTCAGAATCAAACACGCCGCCTCCACCGCCGCCTGGATACCATTAACCTTGACAAGACTAGGCTCCCAGACAAAAGCTTCCATATTATCCCTAACCCCCTCATTATCAAAATCAACACCTGCCCACACATTCCCTTTACGATGCTCCACGCGCAGCCGATTGAGGATATCCGTCGCATCAAACCCTGCATTATCACAAAGCTGTCGCGGAATCACCTCAAGCGCCTTCGCAAACGCCTTGACAATCGCCTGCTGCTTATGCGGCACATTCAGATCCGCATAGCTATGCAGGTAACCGGAGAGTTCCATCTCTGCCGCCCCTCCCCCAGCGACTATGGTGGTGTTTCTCAGCGCCCGCTTGACGATCATGATGGCGTCGTGGAGACTGCGTTCGGCTTCTGCGATGAACTGTTCGGCGCCACCGCGGAGGACTAACGTGCATGTCTTGGCAGCGGGGCAGTCGGAGAAGATGTTAAAGCGCTCGCCGCCGATTTGGCGTTCTTCGAAGGAGCCGCAGGTCCCCAGGTGGCGGTCTTGGATGTCTGTGCAGGTGGATTGAGTGGAAGCGCCGGTTGCCTGGCATACGCGCTCCATGTCGTCGGAGGCGACGCGGCCGGCACAAAAGATGTCGCGGTCAGCGAAGTATCTAGAGTTTTTTTTTTTTTTTTTTGATCTGTGTTAGTATAGCTCAGGAAGCGGAGGATTTTGAAAGAAATAAAGACGTACTGTGTTGCCAAATCACCAATGGGAAGCTTGCTGAGCACCACCTTTGCACCAGTCTTGCAGAGGGCTTCCATCTTATTGAAAATGATTTGCCATTCCGCATCGACGATGGCCTGGTACTCTGATACATGCTCCACACGCACCTCAGCATTGTCCTTCTCGCTCTTCAGCTCTAGTTCAACATTCAGACACACAATCTTGGGATTCGTGAAGAACTTTGGTTGTTGTTCGAAACCAGCGTATGAAAATGTCTTTTTGAATGCAACGCCGTTAATGAAGAGGGATTCCTGGAGAGCACCACCAGCAACCTTCTTCACGCCGATGAGTTTCTCATTCAGATCATCCTGGTCAAGCGATAGCACAGCATCAACAACCACTGCACAAAATGAACGTTAACACATGTCCCAACAAAATGTTAACATAACCCCAAAACCAAACCAAACGCCACACCAAATCAATCAAAAGTTTTAAAAGGAAAACACCTCGCAAAACAAGTCCACTCACTCTTAGTAAAAAAATCCGAATTCCGCTTAATAAGCTTGCTATTCATCGCCGTCCCCGCCAGCCTCCTTAACGTCTGAACCTTGCTCCCTAACTCGCCATGCGTACTCCTTAAATCCACCGCAATCTCTTTAATGCGGTTGACAGCCAGAGCACACGCCCTCCGCAGGCCCTTGACGATAATCTGCGAGCTGACACCTTGCTCGACCGCGTCTCGGACCTCCTTCAATATCTCACCTGCCAGCACGACGACGGAGGTCGTGCCGTCGCCTACTTCGGCATCTTGGGATCGCGCGATGTCTGTGAGGATGCGGGCGGCTGGGTGGACGATGTCGAGGAGCTGGGTAAAATGGGCATATGTGTTAGTAAATGTCTTGTAACCTGAGGATATATATATATGTGCGTGTATGTATGTATGCATGCTCAAAGGTGTATGAATGGCCAAGAGTGTTTGGTGGAATTGGCTTGTAGAAAAGGAACAAGGGAAGATCACAGTCGTCCAACTCACCTTCATAACCGTAGCACCATCATTCGTAATAGTCTGCTTCCCATTGGCATCCACCATTAATAAATCCCCGCCATAAGGGCCAAGAGTTCCCTTGATCGTCGACTGAATCACGAGACAGGCGTTGATGTTGGAGAGTATCTGGCCTTTGCCTTGGGATGTATCCGTGCCTATCCATTCAAAAGACAATGTGTTAAAAGGTGTTAAAAGAATGGGACATTAAATCCCAGAAACCCGCATGGGATAGAATAGCCATAAAATCGTTGTTCAACGACTAACCTTCCTTCAAGACAATGATCGTGGGCGTTTGCCCGGCGAAGGCCATGATTGTGGGCGAGGTTTAAATGGATCGGGGGAGCAGAAGATGAGTAGTAATAGTATTTTAAGAATATCAGAGAAAGTAGAATCGTCCACTCTCTCTGAATTGCAGATGTGATGGGTATCGGTGAAAGGTAGGTATGTAGATCTGTGATGTCGTTGGTGTTCACTACTCAGCGCATTCTTCTTCGCTCCTCTTCCAAAATTTCCTTTGGGAGCTTTTGTTTGTTTGGTTCCCCCGATGCCAACCCCAGCCAATGAGCACTCCGGCCCTTTACTGGAACCCTGGATTACAACAGTGCAAGTGAAAAACCAACGGATATATATAAATGATGTTCGACGTAAGGTAGAAGGAGTTGTCGTTATTCTTCTTCATGAATCACTCGAGGTATACTCAACTAAAGGAAAGTCCTCAATCCAAATGAGTCATGTATTATTGTTGTCTAAAATACATCTATAACACCCCATGCAAAACCCCATCTATTAGATACAACGCCCGAATCTCCCACCCAAATAACGAAACCAACCCTCCCTAAATGTCCACACGCCAAAAGCCCAAAGATTAAACACCTAGAGAAAATTCGACCCAAGAATGCTTCAAAACATCAAACAAAAGAGCAAGAACAGGACATTATCATGGAATATAGACAAAAATAGAAGAAAGGAAGAAAGAAGAAAGATTAAATAAAAATGTACACCCACAATTTTTAATGACAAAACGTCATTCATACATGGGTATCTGCCCTTTAATCAATGATGAAAATGCGCCTCATCCACCCCTCCAAACGCTGCATTAAGCAACTCATGATGCAACTGTGCTTCGTTACTCATCTGCGCAGTCCCCACCAACCGCATCGACTGCTCCCGCAGTACTGCCGCAGCCTGCTCAACCATATCTTCATCTTCATCCTCAACGATATGGTAGTCGTTTGAATGGCTATGTTGTTGATGGTGATGGTGACTGGGGTGGTGGTTGTGGTTATGGCTGTGGTGCTGCTGTTGCATGGAGGTAGGGCCAAAGTCATGATGTTGCAGGGTGTGGGAATGGGCATGGGGATCATGAAGACTGCTACCTGGACCGTACGGATCGACTGTGCTGTGGTGGTGTTGGAAGGATGGCAGGTGTTGTTGTATGTCGTCCATAATTTGTGGGTCAAGTGGAATGTTGGTGTAGTCTGACATTGGGTCAACGGTTCCATGTATCATTTGGGGATGGGCGGTGGGGTTCGTAGAGGTGGCGAAAGGGTTGTCTTTATCGTACTGCTGGTCCGAGATGAGTTGGTCGTGGGGTGGTGTATCGAAGCCGTTTGTGGGTAGGATGTACGTCTGCTCCGCCGAGCCGGGTGATTTTTCCCCTCGTGGAAGAATAGAGGGGTTCTCTGAGGTGGAGTTGGGGGTGGAGTTGGAGTTTGCCAGGGGAGCCTTGGGGGTCTCCTTACACTGCGGGCAGTTCTTGATAACCATGCTGACTGTTTCCTTGATCCTGACCCAGTGATACTTCAACGCAATGGTTGCTGTTGTCTTGTTGATGCCCCCATGTTGCTGGAGGTGGATTTGACGGGCTATCTCATACTGTTGCTGGGGATCCGACACCACCTCTTTATCCCTTAGCATCAACTTCTCTGGCCCACCATTTTGCCCACCAACCAGCTTATAATGGGTTGCAGCGCTCCTCAGACGGCTCTTCTCCGCGCGGTCTGCGCCACTTGGATATTTCGAATGCTTTAGATAATATCGAATCTTATCAAAACGCTCCTCTGACACAAAGTCTTCCCCTTCGGGGCCTAAATCTCGTCCATATATGATCCCATCAACGGGTTGGTTTGGGTGTGATTTCAGGTTCCCGCACCCTGGGACTTTGCCAATGCGTTTAAACCCCAAGGCATCCCATATTCGACAAGATGCCACATTAGTCTCATAGACAAGGTTAAAAACAGAATAGGTATAGCCCTGAATTTGTGTTAATGAAAATCAGCACCCAATCGCAGATGTTAACGAAGCTGATAACTACGAAAAGACAAGAAAGTGGACTGACAAGCAAGGGGGCCCATTCCAAGTAACCCTCACCCATCAGCCGGCCTACTCCCTTATTCCGCGACGCATCAGTGACGAGGAATGTGCCGTTACAGACATGACTGCTCCGCCCGGGGTAATTAGGCTTGATATTGAAGCTCCCCAGACAAATCTTCCTCCAATCAGTTCCCATCCTCCCCATCCCCTGGACATCACGGACACTGTTGATGTTGCCCAGTAACATCACAGCACCAAAATTTGAAAACCAATAGGGCCCAAAGGAGTCCAGCGGTATAGGATCGATCATCGGATATGTGTCTCCCATTTCGATCTCCTTGTTGAGCTGGTCGCATAGGTACGCCAGCAGGGAAAGGGGCACATCTGATGGCGAAGAGAAAGGGACCAGGGTGGCAGCAGTTACGCGGTCCCGAAGCGTCACTTTGCGGGGGTAGATGTTTGATGGCAGCTGGGGGTTAGCTGGGTTAGGATACGGGAGCTGGCCTGATGTGCGGAATATCAGGGGGCCAGCTGGGTCTTCATGGACCGCAGGCATGGTAACCCTAACCCGCCCTTGCAGGTCACGAGACTAGGGTTCATTGTCAGTATTGGGGCGTTAAACACAGCTCACACATACGGAAGTACACCAATGCGCATATTCTATATATGTATGGTGGATGACTGAGCGGTGGCATATTGGAAATGCATATGGTGGAATTTGGAAGGGACGAGTTACAACCCAGGTCCCTTTCCGCAAACCGGGGGGGTAGACTTTACCAAAGGGCTTGCCCCACGCACACAGAGAGAGGAGGCGCAGAGGGAATAATAATTAAGTAATACCTCTAAGTAACGTGCCTATATATGGACAAGTGATAATCTAGGTCCCTTGGGGGGGTTATAATGGGGCTGTTGATACCCAGGCGCAACGCACACTTTGGAACGGCTGTCGTAGATTGGAGAACGGGGAGGGGGAAGGCGAGGGCAATTGTGATGTTACTGGGGAGCAAAAGTGAGGGAAGTTGCAAGGAACGCACCCTTTTCAGTGGCGTGTGGCGTGTGGCTTGTGACATCTATGCAACAGAGAACTTACTTCACTAACTTGATCGTTGATCGCTTACTCACGTGATATAAAACTCAATTTAGTAATCCCTATTACTAAATTGACTTGCCTGGCTTCAACCATACAGACTGCTAGTCCTAGACATCAGTGTAGAGGTGCAAGTCATGTTTAGATGTCCTACACAGGCCTCCGTACGACTGATCTAAAATCACCTCAGATAATAAAAGATGGAGGAGAAAAGAGATCATATGTACTAGAAACTATTTCAATAAAAATTGCAGAAAATGATGTTGATCCATCTGTCATCAAAAACTCTAGAAATGCTTATTCAGCTCCTGAAAGTTAGTTACTCTTATTTTCTGAGTTAATAACTTCAATTACTCTTTGCTCCATTTTCATTATCTTTTTTATTCATATAGTCAATAATATACTTATATAAACTTGTAAGAGGAAAATCATATAATTTAATAGCTTTTCATTGACTTAATCTCTTATTTTCAATAATTAAAGTAAACAAAATAAATTAATTTGTACTTATTGTTAAATATATACTAAATATATAAATATATAAAGATTGAAGCTATATTAGTTAACATAATCAATCATAGTTAACTAACTTAGTTATTTTTATTGATGCTTGTAAACTATTAAATGTCTGAAGTGATTGTATTGATAGTTTATCTCAGAGATGCTATATATTACTGTGTGATATACTAGTTCATAATAAAAAATCTAGGCTTTAACATCTTTTCTCAGAGTAGTTACTGTATAGACTAGTTACTGTTCTACTCAAATCAATTATATTCATCTTTTTTATTAATCTTGTCTTTTATTTACTATATTCATTAAATTCTTTTCTTATTTTATTTATAATCTGATTGACTTTTTAAAAGTTTTTCAATATTTAAAGAAATTATTGTAAAGAATACTTGAGTTGACTGAATTACAAATAGATTTTTTATATTTCTATCTGTGCTCTTATTTTTATTCTTAGCTTTATTTTTATGATAGTGTAGAACAGATTAACATAATCAGAAATTATAACTATTTAGATAACAGCATAGCAACTAACCCTATAATTACCTTTTATATAAATAATATATAAATATGAAAAATAATACTAAGAAAAAAAGCATTATAAACAAAGCTTTCTCTGAACTTATTTCTTAAAAATTATCTTAGTATTTACTTAGATAGCTTATCTAGCTGATAATTAAACATCTGTTCATCTATACTTAAATTGAAGTCATTATATAGTATTAAAATCAAATACTTTTTTTACCCTTTTTAAAGCAGGTTTTTAGATAAAAAATCTCTGAGAATTTTTATCTATTTTTATTTTTAAATCTTTGAAAAGACTGCTAAAGATGTCAAAAATAATTAGAAAGTCTGATAGTCTATGAAAATCAGATTGAGATATGATAACTCTGACTGAGATAAATATAAAATCAAAAATTTTTATATTAAAAGAATAATTCCTTGTGGTAATTAAAGAAAATTCAGATTAAGTATATTAAGAAATTGCTGACTTTATAAATAAGATAAAAAGTATTATAGAAAGAATTATAGTAGAACAAGATGAGTAAAAAAAGCAAATGAGTGAATTTGATCAGCAAGTAAATAGCTTGATAGAGGAATAAAATATCTTATAGCAGACTATGAAATCTTTAGTCTCTCAAATCAAACTAGTAAATATTTAACAAATATAACAATTAATTAAATTTAATAACTCTAAGCATCTTATCAATAGAAAAGAATCAATATTTGAAAACTGACTTTTCTGAATAAAATACAAACTAGTTGTTAATGTAAACTACTTTCTAACTGAAGAAAATTATATTGTCTATATTAAAAACTAAACTGATGATGAAGTTATCAGATACTTAGTCTTAAAAATAAAGAAATATTATTTTAAGAAGTTTAAAATAGCTGAAAAAGTGTTTAAGTATCTATAGAAAATATATGAAAATATCAATAAACTTAAGAATATAAAGATAAAGTATCAATAACTAATAATGAGAAATAAAGATGATTATCAAATATTTATAATTAAGTTTCTGTATTTGACTAGTGAAGCTTGAGTTCAGTAGAAAAATTATAAAGTAGACTTTCTTTAATAAGATTTTTTTTGATATTTAATATATGATTACAGTAGTTTACATTAATTATAACATCTTTCATGAGATTCAATAGATCTGTACTAGGATAACTCACTATATTAAAGATATATTCAGTCAAAATAACTGATAGCTATTTAATTATGAAAAAACTTCTATGACTCAAATCAATCATGAGAGAACTATAAGGGGTTGAACCCCTAGATTTGCTCTGGCTAGCTGACTCAGCCTAGCCATTGTTTGCATGTGCGCACGTGATCATGCTACGTGAGCTTGCTTAAGCTTGAGTTCTCATCTCATTCTTTTCTTCCCTTTCTCAAGCAATTTGTCCTTGTTATATAGGAGGACTAGCCTCTAGTTCTTAGAGCTTAACCCTTTACATTACAAATTGCTTCACTCCTTTCATTGATAGGCCACTGGGAGTCTTAATTCTGTATCATGAAGCTCAGCAAACATGCTGATATATAATAGGCTATTGAGAGTCTTAAATCCTACATTATGAAGTTCAGTGATAGCACTGATATATGAATAGACTGGGTTAGCAATTGTGCTAACAAATGAATGAGCAACATTGAGAACATCTAGCTGAATGAGATAAAGTGGCAGACTTGTACAACAAATGAATCAATATGAAGCAATGAGCAGAGACACCCTCAGCAGCTTTGAACAACAATGAATGACCTTTCTTCAACAGCAGGAACAGGTCCAGTGTGAGAACAGAAATTTAATAGCAGCTCAGCAAGCTAAAATAGCTAATCTATGACAAGCTTTGAACATCTCAACATCAACTCTCTCTCAATCAAATTCACAACCACTTATTGCAGTCAGAAGACTAAAGACTAAACTACTGAACTGCAAGAAGTATGATAGTTCTAATCTGAAGCACTACCCTCAGTGAGAGCTAAAGCTTCAATCAAAACTTAAGGTTGATGGGAAAGCTTTAGATAATAATGAGGAATGTGCTTGGTATATGTACTCAAGACTGGAAGGAATAGCAGTAGCTCAAGTTTACCTCTGAGTTGAGAATAATAAGAACAAGATCAACTTCACAGTAGAGAGCTTACTGAAGCAGACACACATGCTCTTTAGTGATTCTGCACAACAGGAAAAGACTATGCAAAAGCTCAACAATCTACAACAGAGTAGAAGAGCTCTCTTTGACTTTCTGCCTGAATTTAATCAGCTACTGCTAGAAGCTGATGGTCACAGATGAGATGATCATATTAAAAAGAGGTATTTGAAATCCACTCTAAGCATGAAGCTGAGGGAAGGCATGGTGGATGTAAAGAAATCATCTCTCTACAAGAATTACTGCAAGGAGCTTAGATTAGTTGATCATCAACTCTCTTAGCTTAAGACTTTAAAACAGTGATCTAAATGTCATGAGAGCAGATCTTCTTCAGATCATATGACATCTAATCCACACTCTCTACTTCATCATGCTGTTCTTGACTGATGAAATCAGTCTCAAGCTTCCACTGATGATCTGATGGATCTCTCTCCTGGTGCTGTGATCCCAAGTGCTCATCACACCAAATTGATAAATCAGACAAAGGTTAATCAATGAAGAGAGCAAGGCCTGTGCCTGAGATGTGAAGCTGAAGGTCATATGATTAAGAACTGCCTGTTCAAACCTCCCAGACACCCTGCAACCCCCATGATAGCTAAAGTGATCTCTGAGCTAATACTGGACAATGACAATGTGGATATGAGTGAGGATTTGGGAAAAGAGTAGCTCCAACCAAAAGACACTGAAAGAAGCAAAATAAGAAGCTTATAAGAAAGCAATGGAGAAGATTTAAATCTAAGATGATATTCAAACTCTTCACTGTCAATGCTTTAGTAGATAATGCCTTTTCAACTAAAGCAATGATAGACAGTAAATGTAATGTCTATGATCTTATTTCTCAATCCTACATTAACAAGCATAAGCTCCTGTGCATTGAAATTCCCTCTGTTAAAATGATCAGCTTTGAAGACTCTATGGAACTCTCCACAAGCATAGTGACTGGTATTCAAATTGATATAGATGGTCACATAGTTGAATGAGCCTTTCTCTACATGGTGGGTAGGTTACATGGTCATAGTGTGTATCTAGATAACCCCTGGCTGGCCCAGTAAAAGATGACTGTGATCCCTCATCAAAGAATTGTGAGATTTGAAGAGAGTGGCATAGAGATAGAGTCTAGTTCAAATGCAAAAGCTGATGTAATTTCCATCTCTGCTATAAGCTTCTCTAGGCTTGTGAGCACTCAAAAGAAGTGAAACATCAAGATCTTTACTGTCAGTTTGGCCAACATTTAAAAGACTCTAGAAGTGAAATCAAAGATTAACCTTAGAGAAAAACTGCTTAAATATTATCATAAGTTTTTAGATGTATTTGATAAGAAAGCCACTGATACTCTACTCTCACTTTGTAACCCAGATAGAGATCATGAGATTAAACTGATTAAAAAGACTGATGATAGCATGGAACAACC